TGGCATTGGCAACGCACTAAATTACCCATCTGGGTTTGGGTCCCCTCTTTTTGACTAACGAGCTATCACATACATACCTGGCAAACAAAAATTGCATATATTTGAGATCGAGAACATCCAAATTCGATCGACTCCATCTTCTGTTACATCATACACTGAATTTGAACATTGCAAATGTATTTGAAATCAAACTTGTTCCTTAAACAGCAAATGTAACTTAACAAATACCATCTTAATCATACAGTTTACATTTAACCTTACTCTTACAATAAAACCCGTCCCTTCTTTGTGCCTGCCATCTCGTACTACAACCCCCCCCCCCCCCCTCTCTCCCCAAAAAAAAAACCCACAACAACCCACCACCAAAAAAATACCCACAGCACACCCAACCCCGAAAAAAGGAAACATACGAAACAATGTTACTCTCCACAATGCTGTTGAAGGCTAAAAATTGTGATCAACTCCACAAACTCCTGTCATGCTGCAGGAGGTAGCATTTCCCCGTGGCAGGGGCCAAAAGTTGAAGAGCAGCTCATGCAAGGAAAAACAACGAGGCATGATAGCAAATGATGTGACTGACAAATATGAAACTCAAGTTGTTGGCGGAGAATATACTCGGTGCTGAAAAAGTGTTAAAACTGTTCGCTGGAGATGTTCCGCACAATATTTTACAAAGTACCAAATGTGGTGAGGTTATATCAACAATCCATATCATAAATGTATGTTACTTGAGTGTTTTTTTCCCAGACGCCGGACTGAAATCTATACTTGATTCAACAAATTCAGCAAAATACCAGCACTACTACAAAATTACAAAAGCCACAAAGAGAGCAAAATAGAGGCAGATGCTTGCCATGCTCAACCCAAGGAATCACAAGTTGCCTTTTAAAGTTCCACCCTTGAATCATTATTTCTTCAATGCATTTCAACCCAACAATTCAGAGAGATACACAAGCATTTTAGAAGATAAACCTCCAACTATAGCACACACCTTAAAGCAACTTCTTTTATGCATCCTAGACAACTATGGACATAACAACCTCCAGACTTGGTCAATTCAACAATTACCGATATATTTACTACATATTACCAAAGAACACCTCTTATCATCCAATCCGTCAAATTATTGAATTTAACTTTCCATACAGAATGACCTCCAAGTCAAACTATAGGAGCCTCAATGCAACTTGCATATAATGCCACTCTACACTGCTCTTGCACATTCACACAGATAAGCAACAACAAAACTTTCCATCTCTATGATGTATTCCAAAACTAATCATTTACAAAACTTTAATTATAAGATGACGAGAAATTGAATTTCCTATATACAAAGACAGATATATAAGGGTTAATAGTACCTCACAAATAATTGAGTCAAAATTATAATAACCAACACAACCAAATTCGTATAAATTCCAAGTAACTTGCAATTTAAAACTCTGAATGTAACAGAAAGGATTCTAAACACGACATACCACATATAGCACATTTTTACAATAAAAATGTAACAAACAAGAACAACAGCAGTTCAGTGACCTTTTAGCTTCATTAAGCAGCAATCAATTGCTGAGCATATCACACAAAAGGGGGAAATATAATCACCACCAAGTCTATAATGTGTAGAAATATTAGCCTTGAAAAGCCATCCATTCTGCCAATCACAACCCAACAACATTTAGAGATAAAACCTATGCAAGTGACGGTTGCTGACACAATAGTATTAAATATGCTTCCTAGATTCTTGTGTGATTGTGTGTGTGGGTGTGTGCCAGAGAGAGAGAGAGAGCACCAGCTGAATATCTTAATAAAGCAACCAACTGCACATATCTCATCAGCCATGTGGTTATTTGCACTTGAGTTTTGTCTCAACTAATGCCGCTTAGTCCTCCAACCCCACTCTACCCTCACAACAACCCTTCGCCAACATCATCTCCCTAATAAGCACAGACAAGGATATGACACATGGACACGTAGACACAAAATTTTTCCAAAAAAAATAGGATACAAACACATTGGCAATACGTTTAAATAATATGTGTGCGTGTGTGTGTGTATATAGAAAATCGTGTGATAAAATAAAAATATTATCATAATAAATANAAATAGGATACAAACACATTGGCAATACGTTTAAATAATATGTGTGCGTGTGTGTGTATATATAGAAAATCGTGTGATAAAATAAAAATATTATCATAATAAATTTTTTAATTCATCATTTCCCTAATTCTAAAAATTCGCATCATGATATCACTGCACAAAAAATACAATATAAGATATACCGATACACATTCATTAACATCCATAATCCAACAATCAATAATTATTACAACTTTTATTTTCAAAAATATTCCACTTCGTAATATTAATTTTTATCAATTTCAAAGAGTCTCAATTTTGTAACCTCATTTTTTCTCACATTAATTTCATTTCGAAAGTTTACTTTATTTGTATATAAGTTCGTATTCGTATAAAAAATTATGTTACATTCATGTCTTATGTTCAATGTAATGATTATAACTCTTTTTATATTATGACTTTGACTCGTATCTCTTTAAAATTACAAAAATAACTCTTAATTGTAAAATGATTTGAAAAGTTCTCAAAAAATTAAAAATAATTATAAAGTTATCTAAAAAGTTCTCAAAAATTTAAAAAGAACTCTCAAAACATAACCCCCAAGCATGTCGGTCGCGTGTCACCAGCGTGTCTAGAATGTGTCGGCCGAGTGTCCCCAACATGTCTTGAAAAAAAATTAACAATAAAAAAATCAAACATTCATTTTAGCGTGTTCATGTCTCAGATGTGTCCAACACCAACTCTTTGGCCAAAATGAAGCATCTACTCTTCCTAGTCATCTCCATCACTGCCACATCTTCCTATGAGAACCATATCACATTACCAATCTACTTGGAATCTGAAACAAAATTTGAAAACCCACAAAATATTCACCAACCACGTCGAGACAAGGGGAAAAACCAAACCCTAAAACTAGGCCATGAATAGACAAAAACGTACCACAAAATCTTATCCCAAGCTACACTCTCTCTCAAAACCACACCTCTCTCCATCACAAAAACGTATCACAAACTCTTATCCCAAGCTACACTCCTCTCAAAACCACACCTCTCCATCACTAACTCGGCATTCCCTCTGCTCCTCCAACCTACCCCACTCCAACGTCACTCACTACTCCCTGAATCCAAGGAGATGATGAGAAAGAGAGAGAGTGGGAGGCTCACATCAGCATGTTAACCAGTAATTAAAGGGTGGACCCACGGCCTGTGGAGGTGAGAGGGGGTTGTGGTGTGGGAAGAGGGGCGGTTAAGTTGAGGTGTGAGACTATGATGGTAGGTGGCGGCAATGTGGGATTGGGGGAGGGAGTTTGTGCTAGTGTGGGAGATGGGATTGGAGGGGGTGCAGGGTGGCGAGAAGCCCGGTGAGGCAGGGAAAAGTTATCTGTATGAAGATGGCTAACTACAGCGTTTCTTTGGGTGCAGGTCTGGTTATGGGTCTAGGTGTGGGCGTGTTAATGTGATACATCAAACATTGACCAGTCTTATATAGAAGAGGTCCACCAACCACAACACAGGACATGAAAACCAGTAAAAACCAACAGCAGCAGCATCAACCAAACACATTTCCAGATCTTACCACAGAATATTGTCAAGTCATATAACAGCAAATTTTTTTCACAATAAAACATTCCAAAGGAAATACGGGTTCCTGACAAAACACATAAAACTAGTCTAACTAGCACTTTAACTACCACCAATCAGAAAGGGCCACATCTTAAGGCGCAGATGAGTACGGCTAATCAATTCATCAAGCCAGAGCTAAGATTGTCTGCATTCACGAAATCACCAGAACCACAAAAAGCAACTGCGCCAACAAGCTGTCACACACCTGAATCAAACATCCATTCACAACTTAATGCATCATTCCTCATACAACATACAAAACAAGGCTCATGCAAAATTAAAGCAGAATATGAATAGAAGGAACCAACAAGCAGCAAGAACCTTTTGGAAGCATTATTAGAAGACATAAACAAAAATAATTACAATACACGCTTTGCTGATGTGTAGGAGTATAGATAATTCATACTGAAATAGAATACATTACGGGTAAGATTCAGATCTAGCATTGATAGACATACTACATTGCAAGAAAAGCAACCAGAAACACCTGATTCCAAATAATTGAGGCCGAGAAAGAATNTAATGTTAATTATTGCCATATAATCGTCAATTCACAAATATATGGCCCAGGAGATATTCAACTATGCAATTAACTATTAACCACCACAATGACAAAAAAAAAACAATGAAATGCGGCCTTGAACAAAAAATAAGGAGTGTTATAATAGGCATATAGACTACCTTCAAGAAGAATACATACTGCTGAAGTGACCTTTTACTGCAAAAATAACCTATACAGCAACACTGTCACACTCTTCAAAAAAATCTGAGAAAACAATAACCTTTTTCAACATAATTACGAAATAGAGGAAGATACCAATATTTGGTTTAAATGGTTTTAGAGCTGATACTATTAGAATGACTGTGAGAGGATCAGCAGTAGAGAAAGAACCAACAAAACATAACACTCAGTGACACAATGAAAAACATAACACTCAGTGACACAATGAGAAACACCCAGAAAGAGTCGTCATCAATTTAGTGTCACAATGGACAAAACAACATCAAAGAATATATAGGTTTTTCTATCACCTCCATTACAGAATACAAGTGCAACCATAGTCACAGCCAAAAATAACCACGGAAATACATATCACCTAAACAAACACAATATCAATTAACAAGCAGCACTACAGATACCATGACACCAAGAAAAATGACAAAAGTCGGCAGCAATCAGCACAGAGAAGAACAAATGAACTCCAACAAAAAAAAAAAAATAGGCCAAGAAAAAGGCGCATTCTAACTACAAAACATAAAAACAATGAAATAATGGGTTGAACAAGGAAAGGTACCTCAGTAGTAAGGGCCCAAGCCCTGGTATAATCCTCCGTGTGGAACTCTTGGTACCGGGGATGCACCTGCCGCCTGGTTATGTTGGCTTTGGTAAGCGGCCGATGACAAACTATAGTGCGCACTCTGAGGATAATCTCCAGAAGTTATTCCACCCGAGCTCGGCGGCAACCCGTACAGTGAAGACCCACGACCAGCACCACCTACCCCGCCACCAGCACTACCCAATCCGCTATAAGCAGATGAACCAGGTCCCCCGTAATGAGAGCCACTGTAAGGCCCACCCAGCCCAGAAGCAAACCCACCACTAATACCCAAAGTAGATTGTCCTTGACTACCAAGGGACGACAACCCTGGACCACCCAAAGAAGAATTCAGAGGATGATGACCTTGACCCAATGGAGACGGCCCTTGCAACCCTCCCGAAAACCCACCATAACCCCCAAGTCCACCCGGACCACCAAACTGCGAACCTGGGACAGAAGCCGGCTGGTTCAATCCAACCCCATCACCGTGGGCCTCCACAGGAATCCCCGTCGGCGCCTGACCTCCCCCAGGACCCACTTTCCCCTTTTTTCCGTCAATCGCCAACTTACAATTCAACTGATGCCCATCAATATTCTTTATAGGATCCACCAAAGACGCCCTTGCTGCCTCTGGCGTCTTATACACAAAAAGCGCAAACCCTTTACTCTTCCCGGTGGCTTTATCAAACCCTAAAGGCCCCNCATGCAATGCTCCACCACATACCCCAACCTCCCACCCCAAAGAAAGAATGGGAGGGGGGGTACATATTCACAAGATCATTGATATGCATTGTATTTTGTAGCACTGCATCTTTTGTTAACTCATGGCATGCTTACGCCCTGCCTAATTTCAACGTACATTCTACAAAAGTATTTGAGTAGTAGGCTCATGTGATTAAATAGGCCAAGTAGTATTACTATATATGCTAACCACAACATCAGAAAAATGATAATCAAGTAGACACCTGTTAAGAAAGAGAAAATAATTTCACAAGAATTACTTATCTCGCAATTTCAAACACATTGAAGTTCCACCTGTATTGCCTAGAAACCAACCTAGAGTGATTATTGGGATGGGTAGCAGGTTTGCTATCGTCAAAACAGTCTTTAATATTATTTGAGTACAGAAATTTATTAATTTCATAAAATGATTTAGCAAGAACTATTTGAAGCTGCTTATAGCCTTATACTGCCTCAGTGTGCACCAAGCCACCAAGTATGAGCAGAACATTGAGGTCACTAGTGAGTACGATAATGTTAATTATTGCCATATAATCGTCAATTCACAAATATATGGCCCAGGAGATATTCAACTATGCAATTAACTATTAACCACCACAATGACAAAAAAAAAACAATGAAATGCGGCCTTGAACAAAAAATAAGGAGTGTTATAATAGGCATATAGACTACCTTCAAGAAGAATACATACTGCTGAAGTGACCTTTTACTGCAAAAATAACCTATACAGCAACACTGTCACACTCTTCAAAAAAATCTGAGAAAACAATAACCTTTTTCAACATAATTACGAAATAGAGGAAGATACCAATATTTGGTTTAAATGGTTTTAGAGCTGATACTATTAGAATGACTGTGAGAGGATCAGCAGTAGAGAAAGAACCAACAAAACATAACACTCAGTGACACAATGAAAAACATAACACTCAGTGACACAATGAGAAACACCCAGAAAGAGTCGTCATCAATTTAGTGTCACAATGGACAAAACAACATCAAAGAATATATAGGTTTTTCTATCACCTCCATTACAGAATACAAGTGCAACCATAGTCACAGCCAAAAATAACCACGGAAATACATATCACCTAAACAAACACATTATCAATTAACAAGCAGCACTACAGATACCATGACACCAAGAAAAATGACAAAAGTCGGCAGCAATCAGCACAGAGAAGAACAAATGAACTCCAACAAAAAAAAAAAAATAGGCCAAGAAAAAGGCGCATTCTAACTACAAAACATAAAAACAATGAAATAATGGGTTGAACAAGGAAAGGTACCTCAGTAGTAAGGGCCCAAGCCCTGGTATAATCCTCCGTGTGGAACTCTTGGTACCGGGGATGCACCTGCCGCCTGGTTATGTTGGCTTTGGTAAGCGGCCGATGACAAACTATAGTGCGCACTCTGAGGATAATCTCCAGAAGTTATTCCACCCGAGCTCGGCGGCAACCCGTACAGTGAAGACCCACGACCAGCACCACCTACCCCGCCACCAGCACTACCCAATCCGCTATAAGCAGATGAACCAGGTCCCCCGTAATGAGAGCCACTGTAAGGCCCACCCAGCCCAGAAGCAAACCCACCACTAATACCCAAAGTAGATTGTCCTTGACTACCAAGGGACGACAACCCTGGACCACCCAAAGAAGAATTCAGAGGATGATGACCTTGACCCAATGGAGACGGCCCTTGCAACCCTCCCGAAAACCCACCATAACCCCCAAGTCCACCCGGACCACCAAACTGCGAACCTGGGACAGAAGCCGGCTGGTTCAATCCAACCCCATCACCGTGGGCCTCCACAGGAATCCCCGTCGGCGCCTGACCTCCCCCAGGACCCACTTTCCCCTTTTTTCCGTCAATCGCCAACTTACAATTCAACTGATGCCCATCAATATTCTTTATAGGATCCACCAAAGACGCCCTCGCTGCCTCTGGCGTCTTATACACAAAAAGCGCAAACCCTTTACTCTTCCCGGTGGCTTTATCAAACCCTAAAGGCCCTTCCTCTATCTCTCCATACATCGAAAAATGCACCAACAATCTGTCCGGCGACATGTCGTACGGCACATTCGCCACATAAATCTTTCTCAACGAAATATCCGGCGAATTCGAATTCCCCGTGGGCCCACCTGACATCCCAGCCGACGCCAATTGCGTCACAGTCATTCGACCGTCGATTTTCTTGCTCGGCTCCTTCAAAGACAACAAAGCTCCATCTATGTGTTTGAAAGTGATAAAACCATAGCCTTTGGATTTTCCGGTGGCCTTGTCCAAAATCACCACAGCTTCTTCGAGTTCACCATAGGCGGAGAAGATAGCTCGGAGCTTCTCAGTGGTCGTGTCCCAGCCGAGACCACGGATGAAAAGCTTGCGCTGAGTATGATCACGGTCAGCGATGGATCTAACTGCGTCGAGTACGTCTAGGTGCCTAACGGCGGCGTTTTGGACGATCTCGAAGAGTTGTTCCTGAGTGAAAGGCTCGATGATCTTGCGAGCGTCTTCGAGAGTGAGTTTATTCGGTCCGCCGTCGGAGGGGTCAACCAGAACGACGCCATTCTCATCTAGTTTTCTTTTTTTGATAAGATCCATCAAAGGAGTTTCGGCGAGAATAATTTGAAAACCCTAGAAAATAATCTTATCTGGGAGAAAACCCTTATCCTAGGAAAGAGAAGACAAGCTCAAGGAATGGAGCGTGTGGCTTGGCTTTATAGTGGAGCTTGGGACTGGGTGAAAGGCATGTTTTGGGCTGGGCTCGTCATGCCAGAATATACTTGCCCTAGTCTACTTGGCCCATTTTGTTTTCCCTGGTTGTGTGAGTTTGGCATTTTCATTACCAACTTGAAGAATACAGAATTACAGAAACGAAACAGAGCAACAAATGCTCAACTCATTGATAACGTTGATAATAGAGTCGACTTATTCGGGCCAACCGACTCATATAAGGCTCGACTCAAACTTAGATCATTTTTGAATATATTATGTAAAATAGTCAAACTACTTAAATTCGGCTCGATTAACGAGTCGAGTTTTAACAATTTTTAAACTTATTTAAAAAAATGAATTCGACAAATTCAACTTAATTATTAGCCCAGTCAATTTAAGGATATTAATCGAGCCAAGTTACACGAGTCAAACTAATCCGAGCCGAGTCTGAACCGAACCCGNTCCACCCGAGCTCGGCGGCAACCCGTACAGTGAAGACCCACGACCAGCACCACCTACCCCGCCACCAGCACTACCCAATCCGCTATAAGCAGATGAACCAGGTCCCCCGTAATGAGAGCCACTGTAAGGCCCACCCAGCCCAGAAGCAAACCCACCACTAATACCCAAAGTAGATTGTCCTTGACTACCAAGGGACGACAACCCTGGACCACCCAAAGAAGAATTCAGAGGATGATGACCCTGACCCAATGGAGACGGCCCTTGCAACCCTCCCGAAAACCCACCATAACCCCCAAGTCCACCCGGACCACCAAACTGCGAACCTGGGACAGAAGCCGGCTGGTTCAATCCAACCCCATCACCGTGGGCCTCCACAGGAATCCCCGTCGGCGCCTGACCTCCCCCAGGACCCACTTTCCCCTTTTTTCCGTCAATCGCCAACTTACAATTCAACTGATGCCCATCAATATTCTTTATAGGATCCACCAAAGACGCCCTCGCTGCCTCTGGCGTCTTATACACAAAAAGCGCAAACCCTTTACTCTTCCCGGTGGCTTTATCAAACCCTAAAGGCCCTTCNAATAGCTTGTCTCGATTAAACCCCTACCTGTCATTGAGAGCATAACCTTTAAAACACAAGAAGCTTCATCAACTTCAATGTTGGCCTGAATCAAGCATTGCACCAATCAATATCATACCTCCTATGATGTAACTTTCGAAATGAGATCAGTTTTTTGTTGTTGGTGCTTAGTACAGAAAGATCAATCAGTAGCACTCATCAACCCAAATAGAATACAAAGAAACCAAAGGGGTAGATATGGATCCAACATCGATCAATGTACTCAAGAACACAAGTATAAGGGTATTTTGTATCTGAATTTTACTTATTTTGTAAAGAATACAAACCAGTTTGAAGCTTAAACCAAAAGGACATACTTGGAACCAGGATGGAACAGATCCCATTCTAACAGCGTAACATAAAGCATACCATAGTGGCACTGTATAGAACTTGCTTAAAAAGTGTACTCAGTGCACCAAACTCCCGTCATTGCTTAATGTATAGAACATCAGAACTTGCTTCTGTTATGTAAAACAAGTATATGCTCGTAAGGTTGGTGCAGACTGAAATTCCTTCCGGTGGCGCTTGTTTAACATATGTACAATATGCTGTCTGCACCTTCTACAATTTGTTTAGAATTAGAGGAAAAGGAAACATTAGCNGTTGGTGCAGACTGAAATTCCTTCCGGTGGCGCTTGTTTAACATATGTACAATATGCAGTCTGCACCTTCTACAATTTGTTTAGAATTAGAGGAAAAGGAAACATTAGTACCTTTTATTGAATATTGTGAAGCTCTTTTCTATCCAATAGAATCTTACAGCAAATTCAACATCCCAAAAAGTTATGCTTGACAACACAAAGCAGCTTGTTTCCGATTCATTTGGCCTTTAGCAAGTCAGATCTACCAGTAATTCCTACAGAATTACACCTTATACACAAAAGCTATGTACATCGAAAGAATACTTGTATGGTCCCTGGGGATTGACTTGCTCCTTTCGACTTTGTACATGATTTTTCTGTTCAACTTGACCACGTCGAGGGCAGCCATGCAGAAAATGGAAGCACAATCACGAATGATAGGGGGGAAAAAATGAAAGAAACTCATCTCATGAAATCCTTGAATTGATCCTATAGAGTCGGTTGCACTGATACACTGCAATCCGTCTTTTGGGCTTGGCTGCTCCCCATTCCAGAGGATAGATTCACGCAACCAAACTATCTGCAAAAACACAGTAAATCAATTTAATCTTCATGAGGCATGAAAGTGTGCCCTTATTACATTACCAGCTCAAAAATTCCAATGAGAAAAAAAGAAACAGAAGTACCTTTGACAATCTCACAGCTTAAGTACTTCGGTCATATATTGACGTGAAGGTCATTGTGGCATATGATGTGTTTGTGTTCCCTGAAGATGAGGAATTATTCAGGTTCTCCAAGCCGGAAGATAATGTATTTGATGTATTATGCTTTTCGCTTCTCAGACCCATTAGCTCAAAAATTAGGCCTGGCTCTGATATTGCATTGTCATCCACTTCCATCTCACCCGTTAGCAACTTCACCACATTAGACATTGATGGCCGGATCTTTGGCATGTTTTGGGTGCAAAGAAGACCAATCTTCAAGAATCTGCAAGCCTCATCAACATCATATTCCCCTTCCAATGATGAGTCCACCAATTCCACCAGCTTCCCTCTCTCGTACAGTTCCCATACCTGCAAAAAGTTTCAGGTTGTAAAGTAAGAGAGGAAAAAAAATTGGACTTTAACTGTAGGCCAAAGAATTTAAGCGACCCACTGAAGTAAGTAATGCAAGTTGCTTCAAGTTAACACAACAAATTTGTTATGTACATAGGAATTTTTAGCCCTTTGTCCAAACCAACCAGTTAACTTCACAGCTAAATATAAAAGTCAGTCTCGAACCAAACCAGCACTACCATCTACAAACTGCAACAATAAAACTTATTGGAACTCAACATATATGTGCTAAGTACGAGGATGAATACACAATTCTCAAAAGTTGATATTTTGGTATCAAAGCAATCCTCCTTCATAAAACCAACACATTTCCACCATACTCTAAAGATTCCCTTTTTGTGGATCTCAGATTTATGATGTCTGACCAAGTGAATTCCGATCGAAGTTTAACACCTGAACTAATATACAAACACATGCATCCAAGAAAATGGGGAGATCTACAGTACTTCCTGGAAGATTTGTTTGGTGTATATAAGTTATGACGAGAACAATCACACCCTGGGAGCACCACCAAGGATCAAAATCCATCTACTCAGATAAAATAGTTGCTATGTTGCAGTTTTAATACTTCTACAAATATAACTTTCAATGGTTTTCTTATATTACAATTTGTATGGCTTAGGTACAAAGAGAGACTCTTGATCTGCTCTGCATGTTTTATCCAAAGCAATTCGGTATTCTGAGCTCCACATGTCAAACAAGACTACAGTTCAACCATAAAGGAACAGTAAAGGAAATTGCGGGTTCAAGAACTCCATACCCTTTCAAGAAGATATTGTTTGTCAACTGCTAACTGCTTGTTTGTGTTGCAACGTCCACTAACAATTTCCAAGAGTAGAATACCAAAACTATAAACATCTGCTTTCCTCGTTAACTGGCCTCGTATGGCATACTCAGGGGCTAAATAGCCTCTACAAGGATAAAAACGTAAATAGACATTCAATCATACAATACACCCAAATAAAAACTGGTAACTTAATTAAGAAAACAAAAGTAAAAGATAAAAACTCATTGGCCATTCCCAGCACAGGCAGGACTTCATATCCATGGTCTACCCCCTATCAAATATTATTTCATGTCAAACAGGTCCAGGGATAGACATTTAATTGGACTTAATTAACAAACCAACCAATTTAATTGCACGATGGAACAGGCTTTCTCACAGTCTGTACACCTTTAATTTGGAAAGTGCATATAGTGCATCAGTCAGTTTTCTTTTTTGTCTTTTTTTTGGTGTGGGATTTAAGTTGGTCATTTCATCAAGGAAGAAATCAAGGTTGATGTGGTTTAGGTTGTTTTTAGGCAATAGACCTCTTATTGGGACCATTAATTGGTTCAACTCCAGCCCAGTTTAAACTACAAATATGTTGAATTTTCATGGCACACATAATAGATTACAAATCCCCATTTTGAAATTCATCATAAATTAGTACCACAGCATAAATTCATAAACTTACACTGTTCCAGCGACACGTGTGCTAATATGAGTCAGGTTAGCAGGGAAAAGTTTTGCGAGACCAAAATCTGAAATCTTGGGAGTGAGGTCTTTGTCCAGGAGAACATTGCTTGCCTTGATGTCTCTGTGAACAATATGAGGCCGGACTTCCTCGTGAAGATATGCAAGTCCCCGTGCAACTCCAATGCAAATTCTAGTCCGTGTTTTCCAACTAAATTGAATGCTACTGTGCCCATCCCCTATAAGTAAAGGTAATAAAAGTCATCATATAGACAACAAATGAATTACAACTACCATAGTAATAACCCAACAATTACCAAGAAGAGTTCGAGCAAGGCTGTTATTTTCAAGATAGCCATACACCAACATTCTATGGTTTTCTTCGGCACAACAACCATACAGCTTAACCAGGTTCTCATGCTCTACATCTGAAATCACCATTATCTCTGTCAAGAACTCCCGCAAACCCTGCTTTGACTCGGCAGAAAGCACCTTTATAGCAGCCAAAGTACCATCTTTTAGCCTCCCCTAAGTATAACAATTGTGTAGTTATATATATGAACATTCATAGTTTCACGCTAGAAAAGATTACAAATGAGGAAATAAGAAGATGTCTTACCTTGTAGACAGAACCAAAACCTCCTTCCCCAATTTTATTAGATATACTAAAGTCATTGGTGGCAATTCGCAACTCTTTGTAACTGTAACGTATAACATTCTCAACGCTTGAAACCTCTGTATCCATGATTAAGACCTTTTGAAGTTAATATGTAGTTATAAACCACACAATATTATGCATGGGGCCAAAATGTGTGTAAACTTGTGTGAATGCATGCTATGAGGTGGAAATTAGAACCATCCAGCCATGTACCTTCCTCAATGTCTACTGTGTGCTTAATTGGAGAAGCTGCCTTTTTTGTAAAACAGGCAGTAACACAAGACAATATAACCTTCATGTTTAAGCTGACTAGAACTTCAAATCACATCAAACTCCTGTCCTGTCCAGTTGACAATTAAACAGAAACAGAAACACGTTATCATGAAATTTCACCAATAGTTGGCCTTGGCCAAGAGACTGGGAGAACATATTTTCATGTTGGAAATCATGGTGAAAAATTTACCGTACACTAACTAAACTTCCAATATGGATAACATTCAAAAATGAAAAGAAAAGGATTCAAGTTCATCACTCAAATCAACAAAGTCCATTACGAGAACAAAAATAATACCAACCTATCAATTATGTATTAAGATGTGTTATTAGTGTCCAAATCTTTGCTGAACAGATGTTATGTTGTCCAAATCTAACACACAATTAAGGCATTGCTGGTCATGACAATGTTTGGTGGATATATCTAGGTTCTTGTCAAGTATCAAAATTTCGTTTCGAAACGTTTCTATTTATAAAGAGACTGAAACGAATCAATAATGGAATCCAAATTCTAATATGTTGAGGTGTTGCATAATGCTTCAACGTATTTTGTAATGTTTTAATGCATTTGCGTACTTGTTTTAAAGATGTTTCAAGATAATTTGGTATATTTCGATCAATGTTTTAGAAAAATAATTCTTAAATTTTTTATTTTTTTATTTTATTTTCAAAACGGGTCAAAACGTTTTCAAAATACGTCGAAACGTTTCCTTTTTCTAGGTGACCAAAACAAAATTTTGATCCTTGCCTCTTTGGTTCTTGTAATATCATCCATAAAGATTCTTAAATATACCTCACGCACTCCGTATAATTACATACTTAAAGACCTCATTACTTAATAGACTTGAAACATTTTATACACGAGCAGAAGGAATCATTTCTTCCTGAATGCAAGAGTATATCATTGTATTGTAGGAGAGGGAGAATGTATTGGGAAGATAGGATTCCCCTAGAAGCAACAAATGTTCCACACCAAAGTACAAATAGACATAAAAAGTAAATAAATTTTTCTTCCCACCACTAACTGCATTACACACAAGTAGTGATAACAAAACATCTAATCACAACAATTAGACACCACTGAGGTGATATCACACCCATCAAGTATCCCACTAAAGTTGATACACCATGAAGTCATCAAAAGCTAAAGCCTCATTTTCGTGACGCCATCATTTTAAGATAGGTTTTTGAATAATCCATTGAAAATTCCTCAAAAGTCCCCTAGAGAATTTAAAACAAAATAAAACTACAAAGAGACAATCATCCCCTTTCACAAAAACACAAAAAAAAAATATACATATGTAAAAAAATCCAAATTAAGACAATTTTCTGCAAATTCCATTGGAAAAGACAACAAAGAAGCATCTTTGAGCCCTCTTCCCTTTCACTTGAAGACAACCCCCACGGGACAAAGCAAGAGACAAAAGGTTAGAAATTAGAGAACGCGTTTATTTTGAGGTTAGTCTATATAGGGGGGAACTAGAAATCACCAGAAACTTCAAAGGGGAGGAGATCCTATGCGGAATCAATAATAATGACAAGTTATTTGGAAGGAAAAAAAAATCAACCAAAAAGGGGATTAAAAAAATCTCCTCTCTGTTGTTCCCCTTAGTTTCTCAATCTAAATATGCAACAGAGGCAACATCAACAACAATTTAATTACCCCTACACCAAAAAAAAAAAATCAGCATCAATTAGAACAAAAGTAAAATAATTGAAACTTTCTCCATTAATCTTCTTCAATAATGGGTGGTCACATGTATGGACGATTAAATAAACGACCCTTTGACCAGCAGTCACTGAAATTCACAATAACAAGTGATCTGAACTGCTATACCGATGGCCAGTCAGACAAGCAAGCAAGAAGACATAATCCCAAACCACACAAATCTAAAGAGTACCCATAATTCAGAACAACGAAACACCCAGTTACATAAAAAAGATAACATAGAAATATAACACAGAATTCAACTGTTCAAAACTCACCTTGTGCGCTATGTTGCTGTAGTGGATGCCTAGAGAGAGAAAGGAATGGTTGTAGAGAGAGAAAGAGACGGTTGTAGATAGAGAAATGAGGGTGTCTTGTTTTGACCGGGGTGGAGTTGCCAGAGATACATGGCAAGTGCGTAGAATTTGTTGCAGATCATTGCCGAGTCAGACCTCGGGCTGACTAGAGAGCACCAGAGTGATGGAAAGTAAAAGTTAAAAGGTGAAATATCAGAAACCTCCCCGTAAGTTTTTTTTTATTATTTTATATTACTTACCTTTTCCCTAATATATAGCTTTTGAAACATCACTTCAAGCCTCAAAGGTTTATTTTTTTTTTGATTTCACCTGTCAGTGTATCCGGATAATCTTATACGCACGTCGATTAATTCTCTCCCACTCCGGTCGAAGACAGATCATCCATACTTATGCTTTTTTTTTTTTTCCTTTTGTGTGAGCCTTTGTGGTTTTGTGGGGTTTTGACAAATATTCAATGGCTATTGATTGAATATTCAACCTTAAAAAAAAAAAATCTGATCCAAAAAAAACAAAAAAAAATTCTATATGCTCTCAAGTCTTTGTCAAGGGCTGCCTAAATTACATGTTCGTATTTTGAATTTTCTTTGTCAAAGGTTATGATTTGATCAAATTCACACACAGTCATTTAGAGTGGAATTGGTCATGACCATGTGTGTAACGGGGCCGTTAAAACATACTAATCAACATGTGGCCAATAATTAAATATGTTTAAAGAAAAAATATTATATGTAATAATTACACTTCGTTAACAGTGTTACGTAGTGTAATTATCTATCTATATAATAAAATAGTTTACAATTCAAATTTTATAAGATAAACAAAATGACTTTTGTTATTCGCGGTTGAGATCGCTTTAAAGTTAATTTAACGGCTAATATTGACACCTTAAATTTAATAGAAAAAATTGACTCCTAATTGGTGTGTTTTGAGTGACTTTTAAAAAATAATTTTAAAAATTATTTCTCATAAATAATTAAAAAAAAAATTATGTTTTAAATCGCTCCACC